TCCTGTGTTTAACAGACTACTGTCAATAACCAGCTCAAAGCCACCCCCAGAATCCAGGACAGCTCCACACAACACAAGTAACAGGTACTGTTTCCAAGCTGAACTCTTGGGCCATCGAGGGCTGAACACCCCCTGTTAAGAAAAATGGAGCTCAGACGACAAGGGCTTGGAGGCAGAAACTGTACCTTTGCTGTACAATGTGCCTTGGAAGTCCACTACTTTTGTGGCTGTTGTCTTTAAAAGACGATCTAGTTTGGTGCATGGAAAGTGCTGCTGAGCAGCTTCAGAAAAACCTCAAGTTCTCTACAGCTAGCAAGCTCAGAGAAACGTACTAAATATAAGTGTGGGTATATACACACGTGTGTATATTGATGTATTATTTGATATCTCAGTAAAGAGGGACACTGAACAGTCCCTCCACTCTCAGAACACAGATTTTTACTATTACTTACAGACCCTCGGAGAAACAAAATGGGAAGTTTAGTTCCAAACTTCTCTTCCAAGGCACTCACTGCAGACAGCAGCTGATACGCTTGCTTCCCAAAGTCCTGTAAACCACATTCTGAGTCACTGGAGGTGGCAAAAGAAGAGGCTCTGAAATGCACAAAGAAAACCAAGTTTAACACACACACAAATCAAGTCCCCTCCCATTCTTTCCAACATCCATTGGAAAGTGACAACTAAACAAAATGCACAATTCAAGCGACATTTATAAAACAATACTTAAATGTTTATAAGTGTAAAGAACTAGGACTGAAAACATGAGACCAAGCAAAAAAATCAAAGTCACAGTTAAGACAGCTGCCCAACACAACAAGCAGCAGTTCTTCAGGGTACTTGCAGTGGCAGAACAATGTTCTCTCACTAACCTTCTGAATTTACTATTTGAATATTTGGACTCATTTAGGCATACAAGAGACTTCTTCAATTGCACCTAATAGCAAGGAGGTTTGTGTGTGGTTTTTTTTAAACACTCAAAGGGGAAAAAAACAGAAGGAAAAAGCAACCCCACTGAAGATTTTCTAGGGTTTGTTACTGCATGTATTCCTGAGTGGAAGACCTTAGAAAAAATTATTGGCACAAATCACTTCAAAGGAGGATATAAGGGCTGATGATGTATTTCAAGTGATTTCAGTTCTGCACCACAATTTCACTAGGTGGCTCTTGACCTGGACAACAACAGGACTGCAAAGATTGAAATTATGATCTCACAAACCCTCTTCTGGGTTAGTTCTAGTAGAGACCAAACATTTCTTAATCCTTGAGCATGCAGGAAATGCAGCTGAACTGACAGCATTTCTTCCAGAGAGCACCACAGCATAACATCTTGTCTCTGATCAGCAAGCACCAGGCTGCCAGCAAGAACAAGGAATCGTTTATTGTAACTTCAGGGAAAGCATCTATGTGCACACATGGGAGACAGGAAAGCATTTCTACTCATTCCTGTGTGACTGCAGACCCCAGCTTCCCTTCAGCACACCTGTGAGGTTATTAGCAACACGAGGAAGAACAAACACCAGCACGTGCTCTAACAGGAGAACGGCTCCCTTAACACTTGGCAATTTAACCCCAGACACATGGTATCTCACTTCACTTGCGAGTGTTTTCTTTCAGGATTAATTACCTAACAAGACTTAAACTGCGATGAACAAAAGTGTGTTTCACAGTCTAAGAGTGTTGCTCTAAACCCTTTCAGGAAGGGTGACCCTACTTTGTTCATGTGCTTTCCCACAGCCTAACCTAGAGCTTACTGGCTGCCTCATGGCTTCGCAACTACTGAGAACATTAGAGAGTTGTTCAAAGGTCAACTTCAGGCTGAACAGCTGCAAAATCAGATGCATGAAGAGTCAATTCTTTTTGATAATTTGCCTCATAAGTCACCCTGAGACAACATAATCTCCTGTATCAGTCTTTAGGGAAGAACGCTTACCTGGACCTGCAATTATCACAGCATTCTTCTGTGCCCATGATGCCAGACGAGACCTTCCGGAGTTGTTTGTCTTCAAAATGAGACAGGATGAGTCTACCCAAGGGAATGTAGGGAATGAAATAAGAGATCAAGAATTTACACTTTAAATTTATTGCAGAAAACAGAGTTGAAACCAGCATTGTTAATTAATTCACTCTGGACCCAACTATTTGGCCTTGATTCCCCTAAAGAAAAGCAATTATTTTTTTTTTGAAATGTAAATAAGGAACACTTGATGCATGTATAAATGTGCTGAAGACTCTACTTCTTGATACTGCTTTTTAATACAGAAGAACATGATGGCAGAACACACTGAGCAAAAACTGCCTTCTGGTTATGACCTCCGGTTGTGACAAAATTGCAATGGCTCTTACAGCTGAGGGAAGTTACATAAAACATTAAGCAAAACACAGTACTCACTTCCTCCTGCAGCCATTTGACACAAGGTACTGCTCTATTTTTGCCAACATCTTCAGTTTGTACAACCGGAACTTTTCATTGCGTATCTCACTTAGAAGATGTCTGTCAGTCAAAAGGAAAAATTAATTACCTTAAAAAATTAAATACCTTAAATAGCAGTCACTACTCTCCTGCCCTACACCAAAACTCAAATATGCCAGACAGCTGCCTCAGTCAAGTCCAACTGAAACAGCCATAAAAATAAAGACTCTATGAAAACCAGACTTAAGCTGCCTGCCTGGTTCTCCATAATCTTGACCCTTATAGCATGGGGCATGATCAGAAGAGCACCACATTCATACTCTTCTAAACATGATGAATATTCTAAACAGGGCAGAAGGCGAGACAGAGCTTCTTCCAAGCCCACAAGCTATTAAGCTTCAGAAATCCACGCCAGAAGGCACAGAGCAGGGAAGAAAGGGCAGCAAGCATTGAAGGAGGGCAATCTCCCTCAGTCTCTCGTTTTCCAAACTCTGCTAAGTTCTCATCAATGCCACTGCCACATTACAAAATATGCTAAGGTATCATCACTCTTCTTTTGGGAAACTCAGGGCTGGTGCATTAGGACACATCTACCTGTTGCCTAATTTAATATCCTTTATATTAGTCACTGGCATCATCCAAGTGAGAAGACAGTATAGGAGTATTTGATGGCTGTATGCAGCACTCTGCCCATGCTCTGAGCTGCTGCACGAGCCAAACCCGAGCCACCATCTGCACCAGCCTCACTGTGCCACTTGGCACAGGAAACAGACAAATACTGCAGGTGTTGGGCAGCACATGAACACAGCTACACCACTGCCAGCTCAAAGCTGAGTGAAGCAGGTTTGTTTTCCTGCCTGGAAAACCAACAGCACGGAAGTGTGTGGTTTCACAGGCTCTGGCAATCTGATGACAACAGTTCAAATGATCAAGCTGAGACATTTGTGACCCTATACCAGCTATGGACAACATCAACAGGAGACCCCTACAATCAGGACTCTGCCATCTAAAAGGAAACAAATTTTCTCCATTTCAACATCTAGATAAAGGACAGAAACAAGTAATTCTACAGCATCAGCATTCTTTAAGGGGTGATGATGGGTCAAAAGCCAGGTCAGGTGATTTATAAGACAAGTGACCAGGTTTTATCACTGCCTGCCTTGCAAAATATCTTCAGAAAACTGAACTGGAACAAAGACAAACTCATTAACATTAGCACACTTGCGGATTATCTTCCAGAAAAAGTATAGAGGAGTCAGTACTCTGTGTACGCAGAAAGGACTTGGAACAATTCAGACAAATCCATCGCATTTTCAGCCAAACCTGCCCTGCTCCTCTTTCTTTTGGTATCTTTTGGCTATCTGTGTCAAAAGAGCTGTCTTCAGTCATTTACCTGTTCAAGGCCAAGTCTGCTGCAGTCCACAAGACATGACAAGAAGCAGGAAGCCCATCACGACCAGCTCTCCCAATTTCTTGATAATAGGATTCCATCTCCTTAGGGGCACCGTAGTGGATAACTGTCCGGATATCTGCTTTATTGATGCCCATTCCGAACGCTACTGTAGCCACAACACACTGCAAAACAGGAGCCACATAGAATTACAAACATGAGAGCAACCATGTGTTGTGGCAAATGCTAAAGTGTCTTCAAGCAGTTAATTCTCAAATAAAAGGCACAACACCTCTCCTGAAGAGGAACACAAACAGCCCCAGGTTAACTCTTTGCCTGCTTAGCTGCAGGAGGAACAAAGCAGCTCACAGAACTCATGATAAGTCTTGTTCCAGCTATCATCGTCTTCCTCAGATGCTATGCATTTGTAAGAGACTTAAAAGGATTTAAGACATAACCCAAGAATCCTATTACTGTCAGCGCAGACCAGCAATTTCTTTGCCCAGAATTGGAGCAGCAATATTTAGTATTGGGAAACACATGCTGAGATTTCCAAATTTTCATCTACCAGAAACTCTGCAATTATAAAAAAAGAACAAGCAGACTTAAGGGTCCTACATACCTGAATTTCATCCCTCATGAACTGATGATGGGTTTCTCTCCTTTGTTTGATTCCCATACCAGCATGGTACACACCACAGGCCACACTGAGTTTAGCCAATTCAGACACAACCTGTTCAGTGGCCTTTCTTGAAGGGCAGTAGATGATAGTGGGGCCTTCAAACTCGTACGCAGAACTGCTGTAAGTAACAGCAACATGTAAAAACACAGAGCAGAAGCAGCTACCCTTCTCCAGAAAGTCTAATTGAGCTTAACGGAAAAGACAACATAGCTTTTCCAGCAGTTCACTTTTTTGAAGACAAAAATTTAAACAGATTTTAACTGGTCCACTTGTACACAAGTTGTCTGTCCTTTGGAAAAAAAGGACTCTGAAAGAGAGCAAAGGGGCAGGAAACCCACCCTCTTGGGTACACTACTGGCTCTGCTAACATAAAGGACTGCAATTCTTCTGCTCAGATTAGCTTTATTAAAAACAGGCTTACCTCAGATTTATAACTGACTCACATTTTGTACCATACTGTTTGGAAAATTACCCACCAGCCCATCTGTCATAATCATTTGAATTTTTACAGTGTCAGCAGGTCCTCTGCGGATCAAATGATCCTGAAGATCCTTAACTTAGTAACATGCTAACAGTAAGAGACCATGGCTCCTTGCCTCAAAAGCCTTGTTTTTTAAATTGGAGGAGAACGGTGGGCACAACAACACAGGACATGACACGCAACTAGTGTGACATCAGAGCCAAGCTACAGAGAAAGCTCAGGCTCCTCCTCGGTACTTCAGTTTAAGACTGCTATCAGTTCTCAGCATGCACTACTGAAGCTCTTGAGTACTGAAGTATACCTGAAGGATCAACAAAAACAGGCTTAAACCCTCACCTTCCTTTCCTGGTAAGGAACTGCTTCAAATCCCTAAGGATATTGCCGCTTTGTCGTCCAACTTCTAAGTACAGGTTAGGTCTGTCAAAACTAGTACACGTGACCTGGGGATTCTTCAGGTTCAGACAACTCACTATGTCTTCTCTGATCGATGGACTTGCAGTTGCTGTTAGAGCCACAATCGGAACCTGCAATGAAAAGAAGAAAGTCTCAGACCTCATTGATTTTTTTTAATCACAAAAAAAAATCACAAGTTGAAACTGAAACATCATGTAAGCAGGCACTTTAATCTGTTTATGGTCACTCAAGCAGCTCAGCTATTTGAGAAACAGTTAATATTTAGCTTCCTAGAGTTTGGGTCTACACTGTTCAGGAGAGTAAAGAGGGACAAAACAGTGCTGGAATACAGGGGTTTATTCTGAATGCATGTTCTATGAAGTTACACCTTCAGTGAGTCAACAGTAATTTTCTGATGCAGTTGGCTAAATTTAGGGAACATAAAGCGATACTTTGCAGAAGAGGATCTAAAGTGCAGGTCTAAATTTTGGAGTTTATGCAATAAATCCTTGAGGAGTGTCTAGAAACCATAGTTGCGTGCTCTCACAAGCCACTCAGTTGAAAAAATCCTTCAATATTAAACCAGAAGCTTAGGGATCCAACGCAGTAATTAATTTTCAGAAGTTTCCAGTAGTCCAGGTTCAGAATATCCTCCGTCTAAACATTTCGAAGAAAAAGCCACAAAGCTCATTCATTTGACAGCGACTGCATCAACTCCAAAACAGCATGGTATGTGCACACCCAAAAAGCAACATCAAAAGATTAAAATTTTAAACTAACATACAAAATTAGATAGGATCCTTCTTTTATACTGGAAATAAAATGTACCAAAACCTCACCAATGGCAAAGCCTTCTTTAATGAGCCTAAACTTCTAAAGGAATTTCTGAAGTCATGGCCCCATTCGGAAATGCAATGAGCTTCATCCACAGCTATGAGGGTAATACCTGGTGGGGACAAAACCACAGCATGGACCCCTTAACAGGGCAAACAAACCACCACGGGAAGTTACAAAACACAAACACCACATTCTGCTCAACTTCAGGCTTTCCTGAGAAGGCTGGAAAATAACCTCAGAGAGAAACTCCTCAATCTGAGTACAGATATCCCATTCTAATCTGCATCTTCCAAGTGCCCTAGTGTCAGAGAAGCCAAGCATACAGCTTCTCAGGACTCCAGACACTGATTGCTCATCTTCTTCCTAAATAGTACTGCCTGCCTGGAAACTTGAATCCTTAACTAAAAGAAAAGTTCTTGGAATTTATGTACCTTGGATTTACCCTACTATGAGCAATGCACCAGCCACATCATTTTCTTTGATGAGAACAGAGTTTAAGGTGCAGTATAGTGTTTCAAAACAAATTCATTTATGTTCCAAGATAGATCAGAGACATTAGAATAGGTAAAAGGCTAAAATATTGCTTAGCTATATCCATTTCACTTCCTGTGATTTAAAGACCAGTGTTTCAGTAACTCATCTAACCTTCCCATGCCAAGACCACGCTAAAAACACTACCCACATATGATCATCTTTTTGATCAGTGACAGGATCTTCTGACATCATTTGGTGGCAGTCACTACACTAGCCTCTGAGCTCACCAGTGATAAGAAACTGGTGAAAGAAAAGCTTAAAATTAAGCTTTAGAAAAGCTGAAGCTTAATTATGAATTTAAGCTGCCTAACTCATCCACAACCTTATCCCCAACTTACCAATAGTTTGGTCAAGGTCCAGGAGTAACTCTAAGTTGCCAGAACAGAACTCTGGAGTCATATATATGACTCTGTACTGACCCCTGCAATGTCAAGAAAATACAACATCACAGAAGGAAAAACTCCAGACAACTCAACCAAACGACACAAAGCCACGATTGTCTAAATGATGTTACTGAGAACAAGTACAGACTTCTGGATGAGGAATAAGAGGAAGCAAACAAAGCCAGCAGAAAGCATTCCAGATCAGTAGGAAAGCAAGACAGTAAACAGTGCTACAGGAAAAGGAAAACAGCAGACATTTACCAGCCTTTAGAAGAAGGGACAGTTGTGATGACTTGGTGACAAAGAGAGGTCTAAGACATGTAAAATCCTATATGAACCACAACATAAAGCTGAGTCAACCAGCTCCATCTCCCCAGTCAGAGGGCAGCTATATGCCTCCACACACTCAGCCTGGGCGAACACAAGCAATATCGCAGACTGCCAGGTTCCAGGTCTAAGCCAGAATCAAGAGTTTCAGCAATGACAGATCAGGCAGACATCCTACCTCCCCCAAGCACAACTACGTCAGAACCTGCAGTCCCAGAAAGCTTATCCAACACTTACACTTTGATACATTCTTTGATGTTTTTTGACTGAGCTGAACCAAGCAAGCAGGCTGGAATCCCTGACATTCTGCAGGGGGAAAAAAAGTCATGAACAGATTTACTCATCAATGCCTTCTGCCTTAGCTTTCAGCTTGTGCCAGCACTTTGTAAAGGAAGTTCAAGCTGCGGCATCAGAGACTACTTTCCAAGGATCTTCGTGGGGTGAAAACCTTTTGAAAAACCAGGAGCAGTCAGTGATGACTGCTGCTACCCAAATGCTCTTCCACTTCCCCTCCAGCTGTCCCCACAACAGACACACTTTATTGGTGCAATAAGGAATCAGGGAAATTAAGACCCTTTTCCTTACATACAGTTAAGTTTACTAAGAAAACATCCCAAATAAGAAAATATGGTAAGTGTATTTTCTTTAGCTATTATCTTATGCAGTTCATCACATTTGGATGTAAGCCTTACTGGCATACATTTTTTTGCCTTACCTGAACTACTGATGCTGGCTGCATCTGCTAATTTCCAATCAGGTGGCTGTTTTTTAATGACAGATTCAATAGTTAGCTTACCAACTCAGCCACTTCATATTTGACCTCTTCTATGACACTGCAGTGCCTGTCCTCTTAACTTGGTGATTTATTCCATTTTATTACAGCCCTCTGTTTCGACAGCTTCTCCCCCTCATTCCTGTGTTCCAGCCCTTAGCAGAACTGCACCCAGACTGACAGACAAATCACTGAATCGCATTAGGTTGTAGAAATTGTCTCCTCAGCCTTCAAAATGAATGACCCACTGAGAAGGTAGCAAATAAACCCTTTTCACTGAGAACAGTACAAAAGCTGAAGGAGCAGCTGAATACATACAGACACCCTGCTGATTAACACTCAGCCTAGGAGCTGGCAGAGAGCCAGCCTAGGCTGTCCAGCCATTCATCTGCACACAGTCAGGATCTGCAGCAGAAAGCACCGCACAATTTACATTCCTTACTTGAGAAATCTTCCTATCCCCTCTTTCACAAAAGACCTGTTCTTTCTGAGTTGGGCACAGCAGGACTGAACTCAGCATGATTCCCAGACTGTACCAGTCAGTAGCTTAAGTGAAAAATATCAGAAGTGCATAGCTGTTATAACAGAAACAGGTACATGTCCCAAAAGCACTAACAGGTACTAAAATCAAAGAGATTTATCTTGACCACACCTACAATTGCTCATGTATGAGTGATTCAGTGTCACCTATTAGGTCCTGCATCAGACCTTTTAAGGAGCAAAGGGGCCAGGTGTGAGGAGAGACCTTATTCACTGTCCATCTTAAAAATCTATGCCATAACTCTGATCTGAATGGCCTACAGGTTCCAGCTGTACGGTGTTCAGGTGTTACTTGCACACCCAAAGGAAGCCCTACCAAATTGTGACAGAATTCTGAGGCTCACACAGCCTGTGAAGCTCCTTCATCATTGAAGTCTGAGCACAAATAGCCTGTGAATCTAGAAATACTTGAGAAGGATCCACCTTCAGGAACCACCCACCAGCACAGATCCTTTGCAAATTCAACCTACAGCTTACACAATTGGCGAATCCAGTAATCTTTAGACCATTTACACAGTTTGCATGTGTTGCTTGAGGAACGTATGTTTTACAGCTGACATAGATGTGGCTTGCCATACAAAGCTGCAACCTCAAACACCAAGAAATGCCACAAGCGGAATCCGTGGGTTTCCACAGGAAATACAGCAGCAGGTTGTTACTACTGCTTTACTTACGTCAGCTGCAGAACCTGGTCCTCCATCAAGGAGATAAGAGGACAGATGACTATTCCTGTATGTCCAGTGTAAACAGGAGGAAACTGGTAGCACAAGCTTTTCCCATATCCTTAAACAAAAAAAAAAGGCAGAAGTGAAACATCATGCTATCTATGCAGCTATAAAGCATATATAAAAAAAGCATATATATATAAAGCTATAACTCTAACACCTTGAGCCCTAAAAAAAAAGTGATGTTTGTCCTGCTAGCAAAGGAACAAAGACAAATACAGTCAGCATCCATTCAATACCCCTCTCTACACCAAGGTCAGTGGCAAAGACGGACAGAAATACAAGCAGCCAGCACAGCAAGCTCAGACTTAGTCTCAATCAGCACACCCAGCTCATATGAGCCAAACAGTCTCCAAGTTTGAGTCTTGTTCTCCCCAAAAAGGAAAACATTTTCCTGCTTCTGAGGATGTAAAGGTAACTTACCAGTTGCCATGACAACCAGATTATCTCTTCTGTCTTCTAAAACAGAATTGATCACTTTCCACTGGACCCTTGAAATTAAACAAAGAGGAACCTTTTCTTTTTGCCACGACACAGAACATGGAGATTCTGTGAAGCTGCATATTCAGCTGCATTCCAGGTTAAAGCAGCCAGAAGGTTTTCTTTACAGTGTTTTCTTTGCATGCTGCAACCAAACACCCCAGCTACCACAGGTAGTCCCATGGATGTTGCAGCGGGCATCTCCAACAGGACTAAGGCAAGCACATTTGAGGCAGTCATTCACAGAAGACTGCAAACCAAACTGTCTCCCATACATTAATAACCAATCCATAAACACCAGAAACTACAGTTATCTTCAACACAAGGGATTCTAAATAGGACCTTAATTTTGCTAATTTTCATTCTTTTTATGGTCTCACAGGTGTACATAAGGAAGTGCAGTGGATTAAAAAAAATCCCCCCTCATTTCCTAATGCTTACCAAATATTTGACTTGAATAAATCAGCTTCCCCCAAAGTGCTGCCCTGAGGCTGTGTCTTGCACAGAAAGAATTCCACCACCAGTGATTGAGGAAGAATTCATCCCATTTCCATTAAACTTAACTGTAACAGCAATGCTCAAGTACAAAAGCATATACTGCATAGAGATTATGCTGCATTAGATGAGGGATGGGCTTCTCTCAATCAGAGCCACGTAACAAAGGATAACCAGACAAAGAAAGTTTATAATACAAAAAATAACATCTGTGCAGTTTAAGTTTTTCATTGTTTAAAGTACCTGAACTAGATCTGATACAACATCTTCAATCACAGGAGGTATACTACCAGAAGAGTCAAGAAACTCATCCTCTACTATGAAAGTACAGTAGTGTAGTTAACACTCCATAAGACTTATTTCGACATCTTGGGGCCCAGGCTGCTGATTTTGCACATGTCCAAGTTTGTGAGTGGTTCTTCAAATAAGTAGTAATAAAAAAATCATCTAAGTTGAAAGAAGGCAAAGTAAATGAACCCCAGAGTGTGCATTTTAACTGAAAACATACTTACGGTTTAAAAGAAGAGTGTCCAAAATATGTCTTCAGACATGCAATGTGGCTTTCACTAGGTACCGGCAGCAACGGATCTTTAGTGGGAGAGAGGAGAAGAAACATCATCTGTGATTAAATTTTTGAAAGACAAAGCATTGTCTTGATAAACAACAGTCCAGTCATGGTTAGTGATACACACAGGGCTTAGGATTTAGGCAACTCCAGTGAAGAGAGACAAATTTTGAAGATATCTACATGCTAGAATAAAAGGATAAAAAAAGCCAACAGGCTCCTCAGACACTTTGCATGAAGAGGAAAACATATGGCTTGATTAATGAGATAATAAAGCAATAGGTATTATAATGTTGAGCTGGAATGTTTACAGAGGACAGACATATTTTACCAGGCAAGCCTTGAAAGACCCTACTGAAGTCACACCAATGAATACCTAACACGGCAAGTTGGAGTCATGATCCCAAAAAACCACGGGGATCCTGATCCTGCTGTGAACACTGAAGAATATATTCAAGACCTCTGTTGAACTTTATAAACAACATTCAGCAGTAGAAAGCACTACCTTCCCACTTAGTTTCTGTCTGTTGAGCAAGCACACATGGGGATTAGCAGCCTGTCAGGCAACTGTTTGGAGATGAACTGAATAAAGCACCAATTAACTCATCTGTCCCTATCTAGCAGCCCACGTTCTGCTTCTGAGAAGCAAGCAGCTCTACTCCTGGCTCATGCTGTTACTTTCAGTGACAAGATTCAGTCTAACTTCAACAACCCAGGAAGGAAGCTTTCAGGCAATGAAGATCCAAACAAAGCCAAGGTGTAGTTCACCTCTCATTTCAATCTCTTTTTTCCAATTCACTTGCCTCCACAGGGCCAGCTCCAAAGCATTAGGTGAAGATCACCTCCAAGTGAGAATCTCCTTAGACATCTACTGCAAAGCAGCAGTAGTGGGACAACAGAAAAGCATGTAGTGCAGGTACCATCTTTCCCCCTGCTGTGTTCTGAATAGCTCCCCTCAACTCTGCATGACCTCCACATCTCTAGGTCAGTTTTACTCCCAGTAAGTATGCTTAACATACAGATGTGCATCACTGTTTTCTATTTAATCGTGCATGATAATTTAAAACATACCCAAACGTTCTTCCTCTTCTTCCTCAACGTCTTCATCTTCCTCACCATCCAGTACAAGATTCAACTCTGTGTCAGGAGTTTTCCTGGCTTTATTGGACTCTCCTTCTGTCAAAACTCCTTTAGAATCAGCTACGCTTTCTAAAGACTGAGAAATCAGGAGAAGTTAATCCAGAGCATTAAAGGTTAGACACAATGCATGTCTTGGGTTACATGACACAATGGCACGAGTTCTCATCTACTTAGGGCATAACTTAGATCTAGCAACACGATACACAGCCACAAAGCAATCTGACCTACAGCCCAGGGTAGCAGCACCAGCAGCACACAAACTGCCCTGTCAACTCAACCTCTTGGCCAAAGGTCTGAATGTGTGTCACCTGGAGCAGATCAGGTCACAAATTGCCATCTACACAAATGCAGTTCATGGGTGGATGAAGTCCAAGCTTGTATTGTAAAGATGCAGTAGGATGCATGCAATATTGAAGTCTAACACTACTAAATTCAATTCTTTAGGTATCCACACATTCATCTGTCTCCTGGAAGCAACACCTTGCTTCATTCCCTCTGCTCAATGAGGCTGCGCTCTCCTCTGTGACCCACAGCATCACTATTACAAAAAAGAAAAACCCAAATGCCTGAGGCACTCACTTTAAGCATCTCCGTTTCCAGTTCTTCATCACTTTCAATGACACAGGAAATATTCTGTTCATTGTCTGTGGACCTCACCTCCTAAGAACAAAAAAAATTTTATCAGCAAGTTGTTTCTATTTTACCTACATCATTTCTACCTTCTGTACATGCTATAAAATACTTCTCTGGATGCTTTTACCTGTTAACAAAAACAACTAAGCTCAATACCCAGCTCTGATGCCTGCCTGGGAAAAACACATATCTGAAAAAATATTAGAATACAACAAGGCCCTGTATTAAGAGAAAAAACCAAGTAATATCCCCGCATGTGGGAAGAGCTTGGAACATAAGGAAATTATAATCTGATTGAAGAGGCATCAATCCACATTCCAGCAGTCACTAGAGGGACTGCTATTTACAGATCCCTTAGATAAAGGTCTGCTTTTTATTCATGACTGAGTTGGAGACGCTTGAGTGCAGAATTAGAGACCATACTGTTAGAAATTCTTTGATAACATTAGCAACTAAAAGAGAAGAACTGATCAGAACACGTGGAGCTGCTGTATTCAGTACTAATCCTCCCAACCACAAGTCTGAAGAGCAGCTCAGTGTTTGACTACCTTCACAAATGTATTCCAGACTCTGAGCCCTTCTTCTAGCCCACCTTCATTCTTCCCTCAACAAAACAACTTTTTAAAATCTTTGGGAAAATTAAGGTTGTGATTGCCTCCTCTGCTGAATGTCCGAGATTAATAAGGGCTTTTCTCATTACCTCAGCTGCAGCTCCATTGAGAAATTCTTCAGCGGCCTGACGTTCCAAGATCTCAAGTTCTTGCTCAGTGATGTCTAGTGACATGAAGTCATCTCTGTCTGCTTTGTCCTTGGAGCTGGCTGCTGCAGCCCCATCTTCCACCGCAGGATTATCCCTCTCTGCCTCTTCATTAACATCTCCCTCCCAGAGGCCAGCAAGCGTAGCATCAGAGCAGATGTTGAAGTCACGTTCAAGATTTTTATTGAATTCAGGCATTTCAACTTTTTGTCCTTCAACATTCGCTGACTCCATTTCAAGTTTTGTTGGAGCTTCGCCACAGCTCCTCTCCAGTACAGAAGGGGAACCTGAACCACCAAACAGCGTGCTTCTTAAGGCATTTACATTCTCTGATATGTTGGCTAGTATTTCTGCAGCCCTGGAAGATAAGCCAAGAAAGTTACGCCAAAATCACTCATATGCAACTGGCATTCCACTTCCATGAGAAGAAAAATAAATCCCTTTACACTGAATAAACCTACAAAGATTCTCCAGGTACACTGTTTGCGGTATTGTCCCCACGCTTGCATCAAATCTCCAGACCTCTAGTAGTTACACAAGAGTCCTGAGTATCTAAGAAAGTCTTGCTGTGCATTTCAACAAGAAACAGATTCAGCAAAGTTCAGTGTCAAACCCATTGCAGTTAGACCACTGACAAGCTATGTCCTACCATACCTACATATAAAGACAATATTTTCCCATTGAGTCTACTCTGCTTTCTTTTCTTGAAAAGGACACATGGGTAACAGACAGCTGTTAACACACACATCGTTTGTTGCATGGGACCTCAGGATCAAGAACAAAACACCAATCTTACAGGTGAAGTAGAGACAGGCTGGCAAAAATCTAACCTCTGCAAGTTTTCAAGTTGTCCAGAAGAGTCAGGGATGCGAGAAGCCAGGTCCGTTATCTCTACAGCCAGGGAAGTCAAGCGCTCCTTCACATCCTCTGACAACATGTCATCTGTAAGAAGTGCCATCAGGGTTATTTCACAATAGAGGTCTAACATCTATATGCAAACAAGTTCCCTTCAAGTAACTGCATTTCCACAAGATCTGCAGGTGGTAAGACAGCCTTTTCCAGTGCTTGAAAATCAGCACAGAGAATCAGGCCAAGCTTCCACGTACTTCAGCACTGACCCCTTTAGTGGGCCATTTACACAGGCTCAGGAAAAAAGGATAGAGAACAGGACCATTATAGAGCAATCCTTCCCCAGTATACCCTCCAGCTTCAAGAAAAGAGCTGCTAACACAGATGTGCCAACTAAACAAAAGCCAAAAAGTTACACCTCATCTTAAGGGAATGGTATTGCCACCTCTGTCTTTGATAGAAAAGAAAAATTCAGCCAGTACAAAACAGAAGCAAGCTTCCTCCCTCCCTGTTTTTAACCAGAAACTAAATGCAATATTTAACGATCCTTATGCACCACGTAACTGAACAAAAACTATGATTAAAGTCACTTTTCTGATCAAATAAACTGCTATTAAAAAATGGGTCCTGTTTTTGTGTCTCAAGAAAAGCATAACTTAATGGTATTTTGGGAGCTCTCACTCTTAAACTAGATTTTTGTCTCTGCATCAGCAATATTGATTTTAACTCATTGAAGTGTTTCCATAAACAAACTAGAGTGACAACAGGAATTCATCCCATCTCTGTATACAGCAGAAACAAACACACCGAGACTACATTCCTACATCATTGTGGAAAATAGTTACACAATATAGTAACCCAAGTTACCTAAGCGCCTTTACAGCCAGCTCTCTGGAAACTGTCTCTAATTTCCAAGAAGCCAGACAATCCTGACACAAAGATAGCCTAGAAAAACCTATTGGAAAACAAAGCTTTCGATTGTACATTGAATAAATTTCTTATGCTTGAAAAATGTAATTTACCTCTTCTTAAACCAAATAATTTCCCGCTGTTATTCATGTTTTTCAGTTTCTGATAAATGATGAAGCCAGCCTGCAAAGGAACAGAAAAAAATTAGTACTCAGCACTCAGAGAAAGCATGTTAGAGACTAAACAAAAAACCCCAAGAATTAGTTCAACAAGCCATGGCACAAATACATTGTGAACATCAGCTTTTGAGTTCTTGGCCCACACCGTACAACGGTCAGCAGCTAACACCACATTAGAGAAGGAATTTATACAGGTGGAGCTGGGATCTTTTCTTGTACGTACATAGGCATCCGTGGCTGCATACAATTTCTGCTCCTCGTTGAGTGGAAACTCTTCCCAGTTACTACAGCGGACAGACTTATCCTTCAAAAGCTGCTTCCCAAAAAGGTGTTTTACCAGACCATTCAGACTCCATATCTCCTTACACTTCAGCTGGGGAAAGAAAGAAAAAAAGAGAGAGGATTTGTTTAAAGAGGAAAGCAATTGGGCCTGGCAGAAAGTATTCCTAGAAGGGGCAAAGTGTACTTAATCCCTCATTAGAGGCAAAGAGCTCTACATTAGTCAGAATGAAATAGTTACTCAAAGCAGTGACTGTTCTCCAGGACCAATTTTGCTCTCATCATATTAAAGGGTAATTTGGCCATCGGAAAGCTGCACTTTCTTGCCCTGAAACTGTATTCTTAGAGGACATACCTACATTGTCCACCTGGAAAGACTACAAAAAGAAAGATCTGTACACAGTATAGTCTCTGGGCTGATAAAAAAAGCTATAAACAGCAACCCCTCCCTCCTCTAGGATTTTTCTATTATTTGCCTTTCTATTTAGAGAAATTCAGTACCAACTATCAGGAATTTAGTAAAAACACAGGAATATCCAATTCTGCCTATGTTCTGTCAGATTTTGCAAGCCTGAGAAGCCAAGCGCAAGCCAAAGGGCACAGTTACACACCACACCAGCCGCTGGGAAGCACCTCAGAGTCTCTAGAAATCACTCCACCACACTGTTTTCAATTGCTTTTGTAATCACTGTTGTCAATCACAGTTGCTATTGTCTTAATAGCCAGCTTGGGAAGCTTTCCTTCCAACCCCAAAGATCTAGGGCTTGTGGGCACAGCCTTCTGCTATTCCAATGTGCGAGTACTTGGAAACTGCAGAACTGTCGAGCCTAACAGTGGTGGCATCAGCAGTGCAGCATCACCAGCTCATCCCCTTAAATGTGCTATCAAATAACCCACCAACTGTTCATCCTAGGTTTCCTCAGCCCTCCCCCTTGCATTGTGCCACTATATATAACCCGATTTCTTTGTTCTCTCAAGCTTCACTTTCAAGTTTATTTTTGGTCTGTTTTCTCTTCAGCAGATGACTTTAAAGCTGCTACCAGAGATGACACTGCTCATCTCCATAACAAAATATCCAGAAGCTGGATGCTGAGGGGAAAAGAAAAAGGGGTGGGGGGTGAACTATGTCAACTTCTAGTCAGGAAAAAAACCAGCTCCTTCTATTGCTTGAACGAAACAGTTTAATTTGTACAACTTCCAGCCCACTGGGAACTGAAACTTCAAGGCGGCTCAGATGGCCCCAGCTGCTGCTGATACAGTGGGAGAGAGGGGGAAGTGATTGATTTAGTTACACAGGGTATATCAAGCACAGAACAGAGAAAGGTATAAATAGTATTATTTCTGGGCCTAAAATCTCTGCCTTCCACCAGGAAACTATAATTGTTGCTATTATCTTACCAAACACAAAGAAAATGCACAGAAGGAAAGCAAAGAGCATGGAGAGACCAAGTGCAGGCGAGGAAAGACCTTGCAATACGCAAAAAGACAAAAGCTTTAAGCGACTAAGAACAGCAGGATGACTTGGAAGGTAGTGAGCTTTTTGCTCTCTTCCCTAATAAGAGGGCACAGCTCTCACTAGATCAAATGATGTCTAACTAAAATCCAACAACACTGAAACTCAGGGAGTATCAAATGCACCACTACTTCTCAATAGTGGGTTGTCAGGCACCAGAAACTCCACCCATTGAGTGGTGACACCCTCAGTCACGGCAAGAAACATTTTTATGGCTCCACATGCCTCTGGATGGAGGACTTCATGGAAAACCTTGATGCTTCCTGCCAGCCTCAAGCAGCCACGGCAGGAGGGCAGCCTGCTTTCAACCAGGCATCCATTCTTCACTGTCTCTGCAGCATTTCTTGCATCTTCTTCTGAAGGTTCAGCCGCTGCTGGGACAAGTACAGCATTGACAACAGAACCCTGGCTTGACAGTCTGGCAGTTTCCATCACTAAGAAGTAAAAGGCATCTGCAGCTGAATTTAGAAAAGCCATAGATCATAAAGGCAGAAGGTGACCAGGTCTGAGAGGGGACAAGTGTTCATTAAGAACTGGCTCACTGAAGTACAGTACTTAATTCTGCGGACTTGAGATTTTTTAAACTTCTTGTTTAAAGAATAAATTGCAATACATCTCTCCTTTATTCTACAGAACACATTCGCAATCAGGATTGAATTCCTATGAAGGCAAGGAAGCCTCTTTTTGTATAGCACAATAACAAGATTCCCCTCCCACAACAAAAAGGTTTTAAGTTTTACTTTCTCATTAGCAACGTCAGCCAGCTCCACAAAGCTCTTCAGCTTGATTTCAAAGTCACTCATCAGCTTCCATTGATCTCCCTCAATTCCTACGCCAACCTTTTTAATTGTTTCATCTTCGAGCAGTCTTTTGAGTCCCTTGGGAAAACCTAAAATAGATTAAGCCCAAACATGAGAAACTAAATACTGGAGATGCTAAAATTTCTAATGGACATGGCAAAAACCTAGCACAAAGGCCACCTGCATAAACCTGTGCTTTTAGAGGAAAAGCCCCCAGAGTTGCTCTGATTATGTGACTGTACGCCAGAGGGACTAGAAACAGCGGTTGGTTGTAATGTATCATCTGCAGACAAGCATGAATGAAATATTATACAGGCAAATTCAGTCTGTATCTGAAAACAAATTAAGTCAAAAAATGAAACATCCTTCTTTCATTTGTCTTACTGATCATTAAACCACACAGTAACAAAAAGGCAACCTCTACGTGGCTGAGACAGTTTAATTCTCAGAAATGGATGCTGGTGAAACCAAACACAATATTATTTTACTGTTTTCCACATGAAATTCTTTCCCTGTTATTGCTACTTTGCATTCAGAGGAAACAGTAAGCCATCAGCACGGGGAATCACCAGGAAAGCAGCTCCTGTGGAGGCATACTCAGTGCTAACACTGGGCTGGCCCAACCACGGCGTTCGGAAAATGGAATACGCCAACCAGATCCTTCATCAAGCCCAGGTCAGTCAGTCCTTTAACTAAGGAAACAAATAACCAAGGATGTACACAGATGCTAAATACTATATTTTGATTTAGCCCAAACCGACAGCACAGCAATACTGGATCAAAGGGTATTTTTCAACTTTACAGGACTGAATAAAAGCACACAGCTTTCTCATCTGGCTTTCTACAAGAGGGAACAGTCTTAGACACTTCACACATGAACAAAAACAGCCTTTCCCCCTCCATATTCACTGCTATTTAAAACTCGAAGCATGTTATTTAAATCCATACCTTCAGGAACCCACAGCTGGACACCCCGAATTTGTCTCGGGTGCAGTTCTAGTCCCTACAAACACGCAGTATTGCACAAAAGCACAGTACGCAGGCTCTGGCTTGGTTTTGATTTCACATTTCACCTTTTCGCTATTGTAAAAAGTATTTATAAATCCTTCAACAATCACTTTGCATCACTGATTTTATTCTACACAATCTCCACACTTTTATGGCTACCACCGAGATGTTATACAGACACTTACGCAGCTACAGCCAGAACGGGCTGTGCTGTGGAGTGGGATGTTCCAGGTCCAATTCAAAGCATTAGAAAATTACTGTTAAAAAACCAAAAAAACTATAGTAGTCTGGTGCTGTAATACATGGATGTAATGAAGTACAACACTGCTAAAGCACCTCAACCATGACAATACGGAGAATCCTCTGAAGGGGAGATAAATACAGTCAAGCTGAATAAAGGCATGCAACACGTGCAGCTGACTGACTGAATGAGGGATTTTCATCTAAGAATATCGTCGTAAAAACCTTCAAGGATGGGGGCTTCCCAATAGAGGACTTGTGCTCCATTCCCCCCACCTTGTTTCTAGAGAAGTAACTGTATGAACTAAAAAGGTCTAAGACTGTACAGAGGCTAAAATCTGAGAAACAGACCATATTTCCTTAGACTAAAGAAAAAACTAAATGTAAAATTACCAAGAATCTTCCTGATAAACATGTCTATTCAATTTGTCCTTTATGTGACACTCTATACAGTTCAACAACTCTCCATTCTCTTCCTCCTGCAGAAGGATGTGCAATTCTTTTGCAATAAAAAATGGTAAGTCTTACCCAAACTGGCTAATTCAGCCAACACTTACATCTCCAAGTCAAACTTATTCTGAATAACAAGCAGAAATCGGCTGCGGTTCCTGCAAAAAGGCTGACACCCGGTTCAAAGCGCATCTCCCAGTGGCAAGAACAGAAACTTCAGGAAATTATCCAGGAGGAAACACCATCTTCCGCTGTAACATGCTTAGTTAGCAGCAGCCCGCATGCAACTGTTCCCAGTGTTGACACAGAGACCTTCACTTCTACAATCAAAAGCATTTCAGCTCTTTATGACTCTTCCTCCCCAGCTTCCTTTCTGCAAATCTTTTTCTTTTGTGCACTTGTACCTTTCTGCCTCCCAGACTGAATAACCTCCAGCAACTAAATTTTCCACCCCATTTGCTATAAACGACAAAGGACTGAACAGCAACATGAAAATTATCGCTATAGAACCCAGCCTGCACACCCCAGGGAAATCAGAGACATCTCACAGGCACAGTTTCAATCTAACACTCAAGCCAAGGGTTACAGAATTGCAGCCTCCTTCCCTCACTCCTATTTTCCCTATTTGGAAACTTTTATTCAGATCTGTAATGAATTCAGACTCTGCTGAGCACCCCCCAGCCCCTCCTCACAGCCACATCACACCAGGTATCCAGTATTCTCCCCAAAAACCAATGTCACAAAATGCAGGTGTTATGAACAAGCAACACGATGGCCACCGTCCTTGAGGAGGTTTGTTATTAAAGCCAAATTAAAAAGAAACTTGGCCAGCTAAACTTCAGTTTGTTGTTTATTTTAGCACAAAAAAAGAAAGCTCATTTGAGCAGGGAATTAAGCCTTCAAAACTGAATTAACATATTCTTTCCCAGAGAGAAAAATAATCCTGATTTAACACTTTTGTCCTGTTCAGAACCTCAAATGCTGTACACCAGCACACAGGGTGAGACTTGGGCTAAGATTCCCTCGATGTACACGGGCAATACTCAAAGAATAAATCAATTTATTAGAGGCAGGGAGGGGAGAAGAGGGATGGATTTTTACTGTTAAATGCAGTGTGAAATATCAGCTGCTGCTCAAGGTGGAAGTTCAAATTAAATCACAAGAAACAGAGGGCAACTCATGCCCTAGCTGATAAGAAGAGAGGAAGTACAGTACCTGACATCGAGGAGACGTGAAACAAAAAGCATTTTTCCTCAGCTACACATATCTGGATTACAGCTATTTTTGCCATTTTTCCTTTAGTGTATGATGGTGGCCACTCAATATCAAAGCCAACAGCAGCCCCATCTGGCAAACTCCGCCTGAAAACAAATTAATATTTGTCACAGTTAACTATTGTTCTACCAGTATTTAAAATACCAGCCTGGAGTCACCTTACATAAAGATGATTGAGGGAAGCACAGCTGGTACATCTTCCTTTCACACACAGAGGACACAGAAACAGTTTTAAATCAAGACTGTAAGTGCTGGTGCCGAAAGCTATAAGAAACCCTTCAAACCAGTCAGATCTTTAGCAGATCTTACTGCAAGCCTCAGGAAATAGCCAGATCCAAGTTGTGTACAGAATTTTTTTTCCCCCAGTAATGTGAACTGTGCTATGCAAAAACAGGAAAACAATAATCTATTTGCTTCACTGATTTCCCACCTTTTCTTCAACCATACAGTCCCTAGTTACGAGTTAACACCTATGCTTGATTCCTGACAGCTCACATTTCCCCGTGAAGTCACTGAAGGTCACAAAATTATCCACGCTGGGAAAGGCAGAGAATCTGCACTGCGCTGCTTCCACTTCAGGGGACTGCAAGGTTCCGTGACAGCATCTCCCATAAAAAGGCCAAATAGGAAACCGTAACCACACAGCACAGTGGAAAAAGTTATTCTGAAACCACCACGCACTGTAGATGGACCAGTGAGATCTCCCACAGGCATAATTCACCATCATGAGGAAAAGGTTCGGTCTGTGCTTGCAACCCATAAGCAAGACAGTCAACGCAACCAGATGTTTCCTCTGGCTGGACTGCTGATCTCTGGACACATCGAATGCACAACCAGCCAGGAGGAGGAGACAGAAGAGCCAAGTCCCTGTCAGAAGGGAAAAAGCACTCCAAGAGAACAGAGTCAGAGCTATTACCTGATATCTTCTGAGAGAAGGGAACAGTCATTGGCTTCATAGCTGTAAACGACGGAGCCACAGAATTCTAGGAAGGGCAGCCCATCTTCCAAAACACTCCTCTGAACAGCAGGCTTCTGTCAAACATTTGGAAGAGGCTCTGTTACCAGCCAGACCTAACCTTGCCGCAGCAATGCCTCAGCACTGCAATCACTGCATGCCACTTTACTGCTGTGTCCCCTGCGAAGCTGGCGCTGGTGGTTACCAAAACCTTGCCGCAGAACTGCACACCACAAACAGGGTCCCTCCTTTATAAAGACATTTGGGTTCATGCCTCTATTTCCTCACTTAACTCCAAGCACTTGGACCAAAAGCATGCACATTGAATTTTCACATCAATTTAGTTTATTTGGATTCTTTCCAAGATCCAAACAAAATTTTGACAGCAACAAAACCCCCCCAACACTATTTCAAATGCTGTAGCACTTCCACACATCAGAAATTAGAGGAAAAAATATAAAATGGACAATAATTTTTTGAAGTCATTGTTCAAGTCATTCACATCTGGTCAGGCTATAACCTGACACAACCCTGTCAGTACAGCTGTATGCAAGAGCTCAGTGCCCCATGTCCCTCGCCCCATGTTTCAGCCAGCCCATTAAACCTGCCAGATACACCGTGGGAGGAACTTCAAGCATCTAAGCAAACTCCATGGATTTAAAACCATGGGCAACATCTGAAAGGACAGATATCCTTCATCAGCTGGTGAATACTAGTTCACAAATCGAAGCTTTAAGAGCACAAGGCAAGGTGAAATGGAATGCTCCAGTTGGCATTCTTCCCCTCTTTCAGGAGTGCATTTACTAAGTTATTGACCAATCAACTTACTTCAACTGCAAACTCCTGATAACATTTACCCTGCCTCCAAAACCTTCAGGTTGGTTAAACATATGCAAGTGAGCTCCAACACCAGTAACAGCAGCAATGGTTAAGTACCACACAATAACACCTGAAGAACAAAACAATCTTGTCAACCAGAAGAGGCCACAAAACAGATTTTAATACAGTTTCAGAAACAATAAATTGCCTCAAAGGGGGAGATTCTGAAACAACAAACAAAGATACTGATGCTCTTACACTTGGACAACAAAACATTTCCTCCAGTTAATGAAGGGTGAAACTTTAATCAAAACCGTTCCTCAAAGAGCTTGTGGCGGCAGGGTGCCACAGGACACCGGCTGTACCACAGCAAATGCAGGTTTTAACTAATAGCTTTAATATCCATGCTACTAATTCTTTATTTCCACTTTATAGAAGGAAAACTGCTCAACTGAGTTTTCTGCTTTTCTCTCCTTAATTACTTTTTCAATTTCAGATGTTACAGGGGAGGTCCTCTTCTAGTGGGAAATTTTATCCTGCAACTCCTCATATATGCAGAAAAAAAACACCAAATGACACATTGATATTCTTGGAACACCAGAAATTTCAACCTAATTTTGATGATCCATTAATTCCTCTGATACCTCTGAGCTGCAAAACCTTCTTACTGAACTTGTGCAAGCAAGAAAAGCCAGAGTGCCTTACTAGAACCAACTCCCCTCTCAGGCTACACCTCGAGGTCATTGCGTTTTGAGCTCTTGAACTACCAAGATGAAAAGCCCCCAGCCCTTGCTTGTGTACAGCCCACAATACTAGGTGAGCAATGCACCAAAAACTCCCTCAGATTTGGGTGGGTCTGCCACCAAAAATCAAGACAGTCAGGAAGAAATTTCTACAGAGGCAACAGCAACAGACCTTGGATGATACATGATGTTTTAATTTTAAAAAAAGAGACCTTGGGAAGCTAATTCAAACAGAAATAACACAAGAGGACCCATGTTTAGCAACAGTTCAAAAGACAAAACAGCTGTAAACATTCTGATAACAGTTATCTGAGGCACAGGTCTAACTATAAGCAAACGGTCCAACGTTGTTGCATGACACAGCCTGCAACCAGGTAAGTTTTCCCCATGCGAAGGCATACCTTTTTATCACTCAAAACTCCCTCCTGGTTCTGTATAAGCATCCACTCCGGATATTTATTCTGCAGAGTAGTAGGTAGCAAATCCATTTTATGCATTTTTCCACATTTCTGTTACTTTTACACAAAACAGAACAAAAAAACAGAACAGTCAATAGTCTGTAGAGAGACAAGCTGTTACCACCGTCAGGCCAGAACGAGGTTACTCTAGATCACCACCTTGGTATTGAAACACTTTGTGCGTGAGAATGGAGCTGCCCACGTTAAACTGCAAGAGAAATGTAGGTGTTATGTTCTTGTTCACATGTTACTCAGAAGAACAATAAAAAGAGTAAAAATCTCTTGAAGTTCTTCCAGGAAAGAACCTTCAGTTTAGTTTCATGGAGATCAGCAACTCAGAACAGAAGAGTACACCTCCTGCCACATCTGGTCAGCACAGCCATCGTTCATTAGACATTTATCCAGTGTTTCAGAGAACAGCACAGGAACTAACCACGTAGCTTAAAAGCACAGCCAGCTGCATTTGCAGACAAAGGAAGCAAGTCAGCAAAATTTAAATTCACATCAGCAACTATCAGACTTGCACAAACTCTGCCTCAAGGCCTGTGCTCCCTGCGCAGCACCTCAGGGCTGCGAGTGCGCAACCCAGATAAGAAAAAACACACAGAAATTCTAGGGGAAAACTACAGCCAAACAAGGCACATGCTGGATGACGGCTGAGGTCAATTATGAATTTGCCAGCCCTGGACTCAAACAAAATGAGCTCACAAGCAGAGACAGCCTATGCCCAGGACACCAGAAAGCAGGGCACATTCCCTGGAACAAGAAGGCACTCCACAGGGAAGCTAGAAGTTTAAGTTAGGAAGACACACTATCTGAAACAGCTGATTTTCAGCCCTGACAATTGGGGTTTTCTCTCAGGGAAGGAGAACAGGAGTTCCTACTTGGGAGCAAACAATGACTGGATCAGATCTGTTCCAGCTTCCCCAGGACTGCTTCCGATATGATTTAGAAGTGCTCCTGGAGATGGTGCAAAACAGTTCACAAAGAAGAAATTTCTCATCGTGCTTCTTCCTGCTAGTTCCCATGTGCTCAATGCAGTTTAACAACAAAATCAGGTCACTACTGTCCTAGGCAGAATATAATTTCCAGCTGCACTTCCTCACCAACAATAAAGTACGAATCCTAGGCAAATCACACTGTCAGTTCTTCACCACTCAGAAATACCTTTTTATTTTTGACTCATAGTTTAGGCTAGGCCAAGTTTACCTATCCACTTCTGCAGTACTATAACCAACTGTTACCTGAAAGACAACTCCAAAAAATATTTTACCACAAAACCAGCCCCAAAATAGCCACTAGCAAGATGCCTCAATCAGAGCCATTCTGTTCCTGGGAGCTGCAATTGCTGGAAACCAGAGAAAGCAGCAGAGAGCCTAGAAATAAAGACAGGACTTTTTTTCAGCCGCTCACACCACCAGCAACACATTTCCCAAAACCCAGCTACAACTTCAAAGACACAAACAAGCGCTGCTCACCACAGCACCACCCACCCGTCCGGCACTAACCCAGGAACCTGAG